GAAAAAGACGGTTGTTTATCTAGGAAGAAGAAAGGGGACAATTAATTATTTTGCCATTCATTGCGCTGAAAAATGCAAAAGAGCTGAACTAACAAACTGGGTAAGTCATGTTTTTTGTCCTGCTAAATATGGGAATAGGTTCATCCTGCAAAAACATTGTAGCACAGGTAATATATAAAAAAACCACCATGTGCTTCTTTAGGTGGAGTTTGTAATTGGCTTCTTCATATTTTTAATTCTTATACTTTAAACTGTCTTATTTTAATGCATTCATTTCTTTATCTGATTTTATTGGTTCTATGATGGGTTGGAGAACTCGTAAAAACAGTCACTTGCATGTAGTGGTTTGCTTTATTTTGTTATTAGTTACAGAAATCCAGTGGTAGTAACAACTTCTAGTAAACAATCAATTTCTTACTTAGCGAGAAGAAATTGGTTTTGATGAAAGAATACCTTTTAAGGGAAATCAATTCTGGTTTGTAAAACTTTGGCAAAGTTTTAAAACATGGTACTTTCTGGAAAAGAAACTGTAACTGATACAGTTAAACAGTTCTAATATTTTATTTTTCCAGTAGATACATTTTGTTTCTGTGGTGGATTAACCTTGGCTGGATGCCAGGTTTCCACCAATGCGTCACCATCACTCCCTTCCTCAACTGGACAGGGGAGAGAAAATGCAATGAAAGGCTCATGGGTTGAGATAAGGACAGGAAGAGATCCCTCAGAAATTACCCTCACAGGCTAAACGGACTTGGTTTAGGGAAATTAATTGAATTTATTGCCTAGTGGGAGAATGAGAAATAAAACCAAATCTTAAAACACCTTCCACCCACCCCTTCCTTTTTCCTAGGCTCAACTTCACTCCCAGTTTTCTTTCCTTCCTCCCCTGCCAGTGACAGAGGGAGATGGGAATGGAGGTTACGGTCAGTTCACCACATGCTGTCTCTGCTCTTCCCCTGCTCCAGCATGGGGTCGTTTCCACAGGAGACAGTCCTGCACGACCTTCTTCAATGTTGGTCCTTCCCACAGGCTGCAGTTCTTCACGAACTGCTCCAGTGTGGGTCCCTTCCACAGGGTGCCGTCCCTCAGAAGCAGATTGATCTGGTGTGAGTTTCTGCAGGGTCACAAGTCCTGCCAGCAGACCTGCTTCATCTTGGGCTCCTCTCCATGAGTCCACAGGTCCTGCCAGGAGAGTACACCAGCACAGGCTTCCCATGGGGTCACAGCCTCCTTCTGGCACATCCCCCTGCTGTGGTGTAGGGTCCTGCATGGGCTGCAGGTGGATGGATATCTGCTCTGCTGTTTACCTCCGTTGGCTGCAGGAGGACAACTTGCCTCATTGTGGTCTTCATCATGGACTGCAGAGGAGTCTATGCTCTAGTTCCTGAAGCACCTCCTTCCCCTTCTTCACTGACCTTGATGACTGTAGTGCTGTTTCTGACACATGTTCTCACTGCTTTCTCTGTTGTGCTGTTGTGCAGCAGTGTTTTCCTCCCTTTTAAAATGTTATCCCAGAGGTGCTGCCACCATCACTGATGGGGCTTGGCCTTGGCCAGTGGTGGGTCCATCCTGAAGCTGAGTGGCATTGGCTCTGTCAGACATAGGGGAAGCTTCTGACAGCTTCTGACAGAAGCCAACCCTGCAGCCCCTCTGATACCAAAACCTTGCCATGTAGACCCAATACAGTTTCATATTCCCTCTCATTGTTTCAATGATCATTTCTTGTCAACTTTTTGTTCTTGGAAGCTTATTAGTCTTGCAAAACCCTGAGGGATACCTTACATACTACTCTAGCAAGAAACAGATGCTTCCGTAGAGATTAGGTCATGTAGGTGTCATAGAAATACAGATTTCCAGGCACGCTCGAATTGATTGTCTGATAAGATTAAGAATGATGGAAAAATTTATTTTTACTTCCTTGTGCTATATTATATTCACTTGCACTCTTATTGAAAAAAAAGGTAGGAATACAAGTTTGACTCATTCTGATTTCCAGTTTGTTATTGTGTTAGTGTGCAGAAAGTTTAAATAGTACTTATAATTTTAGGTTGGGGAATTTCCTTTTTTTCTCCTATTTATTTCCTTTTTTTCTCCTGTTTAAAAACAGGTGATTTGTGCAGGGTCTGTGAGGAAAGTTATTTTTCCCAACATACTTGTAAAGCTAAAATTGTTGAAGAATAATATTAGTGCACTGGAAAAGGCAAGAGAACAAGTAGTTAATCTAAAGTGAAGTTGTATTGTTTCTTACTTCTCTGCCTTAAGTCCATATCTGTCTTTTTTTATGTTAAAAATTTTGTTTTAGGTTCGTCTGGCTCGTGGAATCAGACACAAGAATATAGTGAGATTTCATGAATGGTATGAAACAAGCAGCCATCTCTGGCTTGTAGTGGAATTATGCACAGGTAAGATAAGCTCAAAAGGTAGAAATTTATAGACTATTTGTACAAGATTTGATTTAACAGTTTTTCTACAACAAATGCTTAGGTCTTTCAAAAAGCAGCATAATTATCTGATTATTAACATGAGAATCCTGTTAATATATAAAATGGTCTTGCTCTTGGAAATATTTTTAGAAATCAGTTGAAATCACATTTCTCCTCTGCTTCATTGTATGTGTCAAATGTTTGTTGATGTGATATAATGTTGGCTTTTAAGAGCTGAAGAGATGTGGCTCATTGGGGGAACAAAAAAATCATGAATAGTTGAAGGGTAGTTAGGTAACAATTGCTTGAAAAGTTTCTAAGGACGGGCAGCTTTGACGTTTTCTTTTCATTTTATAGGACACAACAATAAAGACAGCAAGGGGCAAATCAAGTTATAGTGTACAAATGGCTTCATGTGATCCAAATTAATATTTTAATCAAAGTGCAATTCTATGGCTAATAGTAAATTATCCAAGTTTTCTTTCTATTCAGTACAAGTATTTTGACTTTTAAGTTAAAGTATTACTTTGGCAGCTCTGAGAACCTGATTGACGGAGTTTCGATAGATTCTTATCAGTCTATTGAAGGAATCTTTTAAAGGTTTCTCTAATTGTGATGAGTGCACGTTTTAGACTCCAGGCAGTGTGCTTTGCTTTACTCCACAGGGAAAGGAAGGAAAGCCAATGTGTAAGTGATACATGTTAAGATTCTGGTATCTGGAATTTGTTTTATAATAAACCCCCATATTACACAGAGTCTTTTTATCTATCCAAATTCTGTTTGAAAAATTACTGAAGAAGAGAACCTATGAGTTCTGGGGGAAGAAAAAGGGTCATTATTTCAATGATTAAAATTGAAGATAGTGGCTCATATTGAGGCTGTGGTCTATCTGCTTAGTCTAACTTAGGGACACATATTTAAGTTATTAGACAGGCAGCCTTTTATTGTTGAACAATTATCAGGTGTTTTACCTTGCAGTATTGCAGTTTGCTGCAAGGAGAGTGTCTGGAAGCTAACTTATAAATAGAATAAGACATGGATTTCTTATTAATTTTGTTGAGATTTGAAAACTGCTTTTGAAGTATGGAAGATCTCTCTCACCTTTCTCAAGGTGATAAAGTGAGTTTCTGTTATCACAGAAATACTTCTGTGTTGCTGGTTCCACTGGTTTTTTTCCTTTGTGCATTTGGCCATATTGTGGAACTATCCTATGCAGAGTCCTCTAAGTGGCATTAGAAGAAACAGTAATTAAACATGATGGAAAATTCTTCACTATAGCTCTGTAATATGAGCTTGGTTTTAAAGGAATGACTGATTTACTAACCAGCATAAAAAGGCTCAGAAAGGAAATAATTTTAAGATTCATCAGTGTTGAATAATTTGAAGAATACTGTAATGACAGACCTTTTCATCTTGCTATTTTCTGAAAGAAATGACTGACCAAAGGGAAAAAAAGTTCAGGAAAATCTATTAGGTGATTTGGAATGAAAGACCTAGTAACCTTTTCTATGAAAAGCTTTTCTGATCCCTGTTTTATTCAGGGAATTAAATTTGTGCCTCTTTTATTTTTTTAAAATCTTCATGATTTGGCTAAGATAAAAATAACGGATAACCCAGGAAGCCCATAGATAATTCACAACATACAAACTGTGGTTTTAGGGGAACAGATTTGGTACAGGATTAGTAAAGGACCAAATGAGGTCAAAAAAACGGATTTGGGGAGAGATGGGAATGTGGAGTTTAGGACAGGAGACTGGGACAGGAAGGAGGAGAAAGACTGGGCAATGAGCTTGTGGGAAATGAGGTTAGAGGAAGTCCAAGACCCATGAACAGTTAGGACAGGAATGACTCAAATGGGATGACATACCTGAGAACTGGTGGAATGTGAGGAAGTAGGTGATGGTGGAACAAGAGAGATTTTTGCAAGGACACAGAAGCAGTAACAGTCTGTGGGGAAAGGCACAGAGAGTGAGTGTGCTGCCCAGTGAAAAACACAGGTGATAGAGGATATATGTTCAGGTTATTGTAAGACTTTGTAAGTGTAACCTGATCAGAAACAAAGGAAAGGTTGGTTAGAATTTAATTTCTGTTGTCACTGAATTCATTGGAAAATTGCCTGCCATTAGCTTTAGCAGCTGTTCACGGAAGTTGATAGCCTGCCCTTGGTA